AAATGTGATTTTGAACCCAGTGACATAGAATTCTTTGAGAATTCAATATGTTTGGATAATGAGTTAAGGGAAACTCAAAAGGAAATCCCAAATTCTAGTGGAACATAAGATGAAACATCTTTTAAATGTGTTAATTGAATCTCGAAGAAGCAAAAGAACTCAAATTGAGAAGTTTTTAGGATCGAATGAAATTGACTCTCAACGTATTTCCTTTTACTTAGTAACAGGAAGTGAGAAAAATGTTGTAAGAATAATAGCTTTTGTTCTGCTAGTGGAAATCGATCCTAAAACTTATAGGGAGGCTATGGCTTTTCATGATGCCATTTTTTGAAAGATGCAATTAAAAATAAAATGGATTCAAATATGTCAACCAAAACATGGGTACTTGTTGATTTACCACCTGGATCCGAACCTATTGGATATAAATGAGTGTTTATAATAAAGCGTAATGTTGATGGTTCTCTGAATATCTTTAAGAGTAGACTAGTAGCTAAAGGTTATTGACAAAATGAAGGAATGGACTATTTTAACACTTATGTACTAGCAGCAAGAATAACATCAATTAAGATATTATTCGCATTGACTTCAATATATGACTTGCATGTTCATCAAATGGATGTAAAGACGACAATCTTAAGTGGGGATCTCGATGAAGATGTTTATGTGGAACAATTTAAAGGATTTCCTCCACCTGAAAATGAACATAAGGTGTGCAAGTTAGTGAAATCATTATTCGGTTTGAAACAAGCAACTAAAATATGGCATGAACTTTTTGATTTAGCCATCATTTCATTTGGTTTCAAGCATAATAGTGTAGATAAAAGTTTGTATTCTAAATTATGTGATTATTATGTAATATTTATGAGTTTTGCTACACGTACACCAACTTTGACCCGCCAGTGTACACGCCCCTCACAAGAAGGGAGCCCACACTTTTTTTATTAGGCATGGGCCCCTCCCTCTTGTAAGGGGCGTGTACAAAATAGAAAAATTCGATATTTTTTTGCCTATACATTAATGACATGTTGATTATGAGTAATCACATGAATGAGATAGAAGAAATGCAGATGTTTCTATCTTCTATACTCAAAATAAAGGATATTAGACAAGTGGATACCATTTTGGGTATCAAAGTTACTAAAACTAGTAGGGGTTATAATTTGAGTCAATCACTTTACATTGAGAATGTGATAGACAAGTTTAAATATTTGAACATAAAAAAATTTAGTATCTCTTTTGATCCAAATTCAAAACTTATGAAGAATGTTGGAAGTGAAATTGCTCAATTGGAATATACAAGTGTTATAAGGAGTCTAATTTATACAATTCAATGCACAAGATTAGACATAGTATCTGCAATTAGTAAACTTAGTAGGTTTACTAGTAATTCGAGCAATGATCATTAAAAGGTCATCGGAAAAGTTCTTGGATATTTGAAGAAAACTAGAAATTATGTTATACTAAATTCTTGGTCTGTTTAAGGGATTTACCGATACTAATCAGATATCTAACATGGGCGAAAGTAGATCTACTTCAAGTTGAGTTTTTACTCCTATAGGATGTTCGATTTCTTGGAAATCAAAGAAACAGACGTGTATAACACACTTGACTATGGAATCTGAATTTGTAGCATTATCGAAAATCGGGAAAGGGGCTGAGTGCTTAAGGATCTACTTTATGAGATACTTTTGGGATGGAAGACACATCTTCAATACCTATCATGCATGATAGTCTAGCCACATTAGCAAAACCATTTAACGAAGTATACAATGGAAAGTCAAGACATATGAGTTTTAGACATGACTACATAAGGAAATTAATAATATAGATGGAAAAACTTTCATAAATTTTGTTAAGTTAATAGAAAACTTAGCGGATCCTTTAACTAATCTTTTAAATAGAGAATAAATACTTCAAGTAAGATGGTGTTGAAACTTTTAAAATAAAAGGTCCACCAATAATAGCAATCTACCCGTTAATAGTTAACAAGTGATAAACTGGTTCAAAAGGTAATAACAAATCATTTGATATGTGGAAAGTTTCAGCATTATAAATTTGCGATAACTCTATCCTAATTATGTAATGCTGGATGTTACTGAAACGAGGGTTGAGTTTTAAGCTCTTAATGAAGTTCAGTACTAAATACAAGTATCTCTAAAAGTTATAAAAATACTGGTAGAACTTCACCTAGATGAACTTCGAGTTGGTGCCATCTCAATAGAGAGTTAGAGTTTATCTTTTAAAAATTTGTTGAAAATGATAAGCGCAAGGCTATATTAGCTCTAAGCAAGATTGAAGAACTTGAGAACCTGTGATACTTGTTTGTGTTCTTACTAGTATTGTTGCCTGAAATAATTGGTTCAAAGTTCAATGCTACCTTTAATTATGACTTTACTTTATTTGAATTACATTATGGTTATATTCAAATCAAAAGATATATAATCCTTAAGAATGAACATTGCATATTTTGAATATGAGATCTTATTGAATGTTAAACAAGTTGGAGATTGTTGTATGTTATGCAAAATCAATAAGACGTGTGTGGAATGAAATATCGATTTTGGAGGCCAGGTCGCATAGGCCAAAATAGGCTGTGGTCACATAGGCATGTAGGCCCTACCGTGTAATGAACTACGCGGTCGCATAGATTTGTTCAATGCGACTGCATAGAAGATTTTGTTAGCTGTTAGTGACTGTTTTGTTTGAATATCTAGTGATTTTTATCATATAGCCACATTTGAGATCATTTCTCTTCATTCCAAAGCGTTGAAATTCCATTTTCTTTTCATTTACAAACCTCACTTTGCATTCACAAGTTTTAGAGGAATTATATTAAGTGCTCAAGTATTTTATTCTTTTTAAGACTTGATTAATCGTGCAAACTATTTGTCGATAATCCCTTTAAACACTAAAATTAACTCGAGAAGGAACAAATATAGTTTGAAGACAACGATTATGTGTTCGGACCTTCATCTTCATATTTTATTCCTAGTTTTATTCTTTGTTCTTCTCATTCCGCTTTGGGCAAACATTACTTTCTAACATATGTATCAAATTGAGAAAGTAAAGGGAGAGATAGTTAGATGGCAAAGAGAATAAAATACATACGTATATAAATTTCAAATGATATGATTCGGATTTGATCGATCAATTTGACTAAAAATGTGAAGTGAAAAAATCAAGCACGAAGATTAAACGGCTTCTAGAAACAAAAACTTCTTTATAATACAATAAGAAGTTTTTAGGAATATAGTAACATGATGATCTTCTATCTTATTTTTATTTAAATTACAATATTTTTTTAGCTTAAAATGAAATTAGTTCTTTTTTCTCATCTTGATCAAACTGATTGCATCTTTATAATATTTCTGTCGAACTTAACTTAGAAATGGGGGGGAAATGATTTCTTATTTTGAGTTAAAAAATGTAGAAAAAAGAAATAAATAAATGCAATTTGAGCAGTAAGTTTTTTGGTATTAAAGTAAGAGTGCCCTAGTTTTAGAGCCTGTTTGGTTTTGATTAAAATCTGATTTTAATTCAAGTGAAAATTAAATAATCGGTATTAACCATATCTTTTATGTATCCCACAACTTTTCAACCACACATTTAAAAGTTTTATATTACAATCTACTAAAAATATAATTTTAATCCTCACGAAACAGTCACTTAATAATAAGTTTATCATATTATAAACGTCACTATTGTAAAAAAATAAAAATTAAAGAAATTTTCCTAAATCAAGAGACACAAAGAAAACAAAAAAACTATTGTCGTTTTAATTTTTAAACAAAATATAAAAAATAAGTTTAACATTTCATATGAGAAAAACACAAGTAAGAAAAATGTTATCCTTTGAACTATAACTTTCATAGGTTATGTAGCTCTTGATTCAACTCGGATAAAATATATAAACAATCTATGAACACGCTTTTTATTTTTCTTAATTTAAACAATATACGGGATGTTTTCTACTACTTAACTGAATTCACAAAATTATTTATCTAAAATTCTAAAATTGATTTTTTAAAAAAAAATTTTATTATTATTTTTTAATCTTCATCACCTTTCATAGTCTACGTAAACAAATTTAGAGCCTCATTCCTTATATCAATAATAATAAAATGAAACCTCGTGCCCCACTTTTAAATTAGAAAAACTTATATCATAAAATAAAACTGAAACCTACCTCAAACTTGACCTTTTCTCCCCAAGTGTGATCGTAAATTGGACCCTCACAACATTTTGCAAATTATTATTGGTTTACTTTATAGATGAATTATATGGTAGGCCAAAGATTCTTATGAAATCACGAAGTGACGAAAAATAATTCAGATTTTTTATATCTAACTTTCTGATCCTTCCATTGATTTTTTGTTAATTACAATTTGAATATAAATTAGCCATCAACTTTGACTTTATCTCACTAAGCATTAGCTTAAATCTTATAACAAATTTCAATTAAAAATTGGATTAATAGTGGTTGCCTGTCGATGGCTCTATCGTGAAAAATAAAACCTTTTGGAAACTAATTAATTAATATATTTATAGTAATAATTATTTAAATTGATGTTTGGACTTTAAAGATGAAAAGAAACTCAAGGGTATAAAAATTACGAGTCTTTAATTATGGATAAAATTGTTGATTCCATTGAATTAACTCATTTCTTAATTTTCATCCTTTAAAAGTTATTTTAAATTCATACTTTATCTAGGCATGACATAATTTACGTCAATAATTTTTTTACAGATAGTACGCTTTCGTTACGCCATCAATTTAATGCATTACTGGATGACCCAGTGATGTCTGATTGATGAAAACAATTAACTTTCTCATAATATGATGACAAATCCATCATTTCATTGAATTAAAATATTTAAAAGTTTGAAGTTCGTAATTTTTCATGAATAAAAAATAATAAAACCTCTTGATTTCACTCCGTGACAACATTATTAGGTACATTTTTATGTCATTTTACCTATTTAATGCCCTCTCGTTGTCTGTAATTACTCACCCATTTTTCACCATTAAAAAAGAAAGGAAATGGCTGCCGTCGCTTCCGCCACTACCGCCCCTTCACTTAACAAAGCAGTCGAAGAACTGGCCATAAGCACCAGTGCGCCACCGGAGAAATATATCCGCAAAGAAGGCCTTGGAGGCTCCGCCTCTGAGCTTCCATATCTTGATATTCCAGTTGTTGATCTTAGTCTTCTGAATTCTTCAACACCTGAAGCTGAAGAAGAACTCAAAAAACTAAGACTTGGTTGTAGCTCATGTGGCTACTTTCAGGTTAGTAAACTTTCGTAAACTAAATTTTGTAACAATTAGATCACTCGGCCATATTCGTGTGGGTAACACAAAATCTGAACATCGACTAAATTGGATTCATGCCCAAACAGTCGAGGTGGCAATGGAGTCCGCAGACTACTTACCTACTACCTAAACGGCCTTCGAACACGACTATTAAATGGATACCATTACTCTTTTTTATATGATTTGGGCACGGGATATTAATTTTCAAATGTTTGATTGAAATTCGTAACACAAAATTTTGGTTTTTCAGGCAATAAATCATGGGATAGTTACTTCATTTATTGATGAAGTACATGATGTCACCAGGAAATTTTTCAAACTTCCGATTGAAGAGAAGAAGAAATATGCAAGAGATGTTGATGATTTTGATGGCTATGGAAACGACACCGCATACTCTGAGAACCAAACACTTGATTGGAATGATAGATTGTATCTGAATGTGAAGCCTGAGAACAAGAGGAAGATGAAAGTATGGCCTGAAAACCCTACAAATTTTAGGTAAATATTCCAAGATTATTGATCTATCAACAATGACAATTTGATACACTATTCTTAATTCAGACCAATAGGGAAGGGAGAGGGGGGGGGGGGGGGGGGGGGGGGTTCTAATTCCTTTGACCTTGTTTGGTACATTTGATTAGATCAGACATACAATAATTCCCAAATTTTGTATATTTGGCCCCATCTTTTTAATTTATCGAACATGCCTTAAGAGAGTCGTGTATCCATGTTCACGGCTTGATTTAAGTTAAAACAAAGTTACTAATTGAATAGTAATGTAAGAATTCTAGCGAATTATATAAATTTGTTTATAAAAAGTTATTTAAAAATAACTTTTAATTCTTCGTGAACATAAGCAAATATGCTCTAGGAATGGTTAGAAATTACTTTTTAACACTCACTTTGTAGAAAACTAAATTCTATACCTAGGAGAAAAATGAAAATTAGAATTCATGTTCAGTAAAATAGGTAATATAAGAATCAATGTTTGATGGGGATAAATTTTCCATGGAAAATGAAATTTCATCAACATTTTCCAACTTTAAGGTGTTTGATGGGTATATTTTTTCCATGGAATTCAAGTTCTTACTTCTCTTGAACTTTGGAATTTTCTTGGTTTTTAGGGAAAACAAATTCCCACCTATATCTTCCCGATTACTGTAGCATATATATATTTTGTTGGTAAAGTTAACAAATTCTAAGAATTATTGTAAAAAAATATCTTATTTTAATTGACAATTTTTATGTAAAACAAAGTCAAACGAACACCAAGAGATAGATGATTTTCTTGAAATTATTTATTTATTTATTTATTTATTTTGCAATGGAAACAAATTTTATCACCAATACCAGTAAATTATATCCCTTTAATTAACATTTTTTTATATAAAATAAAGTCAAACGAATACTAAAAAACACTTTTTATTTCAACATTTTCCACGTGAAAAATTATACCAATCAAACACAATAATTTACAATTTCTAGAAAAATATATTTTAGACAATTTAATTCCCTAAAATTCGTTTTCAATTCAATTTTATCTTTATAATCAAACGGACTCTTAAAACTAAGAACCAATTTACAACTTTTCTATTGAAAATTGTGCATCCTGTTAGGGAGTTTTGCTAGAAAAATAGGGTCAATCACAAGATTTTTTTACATACACACACTTGACAAATTTCTATTGATAGTTAAAAAAAAAATAAATAAATAAAAATAAAAATAAAAATAAAAAAGTTAAACAAAAAACTGTCAATCACAAAACTACCACGTCAGTCCTTGGAAGAAGGATCGTGCTTGAGATACAGGGTAGGCAAAACTTCTACTGAGCACTCACAACATGGGGTAGGTGGGATTTTGGGCAATTTTTTATACAGGTGGATCCCATGCCTGCATGTTGTCAGTGTCGATAAGGTACCCTGGTAAAACAGCAAAATGCTTGGAAGAAGGCCCTTTCATTGAGCTTGTTTCAGTAGCTTTTATCCTTGGGAGATTTCAATTAAACACTTTGATAATTTTTGTCCTTTATTATTTTAACTATTTCTAATTATTTTTTAAAATTTTGTAGGCAAATTTTGTTAGATCTCACAGCCAAATTAGAGAATGTTAATGAATTTGTGTCCAAGGCCATGGCAAAATCACTGGGTTTGGAAGAGGACTGTTTCTCAAAACAGTACGGAGAGAATCCAATAGGTCTTGCAAGATTCAACTTTTATCCTCCATGTCCTACGCCTGATCTTGTTCTTGCTGCCAAAGCACATGGAGATGCATCTGCAATGACTTATCTCTTGCAAGATAAAGAAGTTGAAGGTCTTCAAGCCCTTAAAGATGATAAATGGTATAAAGTTCGGATTGTTCCAGAAGCTATCGTCGTTAACGTTGGCGACCAAATAGAGGTAAATAAGTCTTTGTGTTTCTCTTATCGTAGACCACATAATTTCACGTTAGCTTAAAAGATCACTACCCCTAATCAGACTTACTATAATGATCAAAAAATAATAATGTTTAAAAACTTGTCTCAATTTTGCGTATATTTATTTTTTAAATTTAAATACAGTTTCTTCATATTATTGATTTGACAGCATAGGGGATTTTCTAATATTTCTTTAGGAAAAGTGGTCCAGCATAGGGGATTTTCTAATATTTCTTTAGGAAAAGTGGTCGCCTAACACTATATAGCACTCATTTGGCCTCTATTTTCATTCCATTACATTTCATTTTTCTTTTTTCTATTTTCAATCACACAATAATCCATAAAATAATATTACACGTAAATCAAAAAAATTTCTTTATTTTTCATCCACTGATTTTTTTAAAAAAAAATATTATATCATTCATTTTTATTTCCAAAAAATGAGGGCCAAACGGGGCGATAATATCAATTTCCAAGTGGAGGTACATTTTTTATGTCGGATGATGATTTAAGAAAAGTGGTCGCCTTGCATTACTTTATAATATCAATTTTCAAGTGGTGGTACTTTTTATGTTGAATGATGATTGATGATATTCATGCAAGAAAACATTCACTAAATAACAATAATAATACGTTAACAAAGTGAAGAAATAGTGAAAATTTAGCATCCTGAAACGTGTCCTTTTATTACTTTTTGCTGTATTGTAAAAGTGACTTGATGAAATTTATTTCAACCTTCTAGTCACTTATTAACTACATTATTTATATCTCAATCATTAACTACATTATTGAAAAAACGGGGGACAATAATTTTTTAGGGAAGTTTGTTTAATCGTGTTCATTCGGCGTACCAAACATATTGATAACTTGTCTATTCACTCTTTTTATTTTATTTTATTTTTCCAATGTCATCAAACATGATCGATTTGGTTAGTTCAATCATTAAAAAATTAAAAAAGTAGAACTATTTGTAGCTCAAAAATGAAGAATCCAATCGAATGACCTAAGAACCAACCGTTCCACGTCAAAATTTTGTTTTTTTTACCACTAACTCGACAGTGGTTCGACCCTTTAATGATGCCTGCAGATAATGACTAATGGTATATTCAAGAGCCCAATTCATAGGGTCACAACAAATCGAGAAAGAGAGAGGATGACAATTGCTGTTTTCTTTGCTCCTGACGTAACCAGTGAAGTTAAACCAGCTGAAGGGCTTTTTAATGAGAAAAATCCCAAATTATACAAAAGTATAATTGATTACACTGGTAACTTTTTCCAGTTATCTCAGCAAGGGAAGAGGCCCATTGATGCTCTCAAAGTCTGATGCTAAAAGTTATAGTTAGGGTAAAAATTTATATCCGCCTTTCCTTTTTATACGTCAAATTTGCACGATTTTTGTAATAATGCACCGATCTGGTCTGTTATGCCAATATCGTCTTTTAACGACTGTTAAAAATCATCATAGAATATGTTGTACAATGGCTGCACCGTCGTGGAAGCTAGCATCGAGATTAATGTGTAATTATATTTTGCATGCTTAAATCACAGTTACTGCAGCTGAATTTTGCGCCTGGCATGGAGCAGCAGGATGTAACTTTAGAAGATAGAGAATTTCAAAGCTATGGAATAATAAAGTTAGATGATTTTACTATTTGATATGTATTTGGTGTTGATGTGTCTGTAGAAAGTAACATTTTACCGTGTGATATTCAAATAGTACATCCCCATTAGGGTTAAAAAAAAAAAAAAATGCATTTGCTATTGTTTTATTGTAAAATGTGTGAATGAAAAATGAGTTTTGATTAAAAAAAAAAATGAATTTTTAAAAAAATGGGGCTCAAACAGCACTAATAACAACTTATTTTCCATTTAACTATTGATTATTTCTAAGATGGATAAATTGCATGCTTATTCCTCACCCTATATCCCCATGTTCATGTCTATATTTAACGTTTTATGTTAGCATTAACCTCGCAAACTGTAACATCCCGAAAATTTTAGAATAAAAACATATTTGTTTTATATGTTATATTTCAAAAGTTGAGGGACTAAGATGCAATATATTTTAAATTGTTATATTTTGAGTCAAATAATTAAATTTTGGTAGAGTGAGTGTAAGTATATGAATATTGTACTCGTTTGATAGCTTGTAATTAATTATGCATTTTAGGCTCGAGAAAAAGTTAATTTGAATAAATTATGGCCAAGATTTTATAGTTCTAAAGTTTTAAGCTTTGTTGTTAATGAAATTGGTAAGTAATATTATTTTAAATAAGATGTGTAGCCACGTGTGATTTTGATTAGGATTAGTCTTCTTTGGTACAATAGATTATTAATTGAAGCCATGGTGGGATTTTAAAACCTTAGTTATAATTAATCTAATTCTAGTGTTTAAATCCTAATGTTGTTTTACTTGGCCAAATCCAGTTTTATGTTTAGAATAAATTAAGTTAAAGAGATCAAAGATTAAGGGATTAATTCACTTGGCAAAATTGGACGTGACTTCAATACTGCAATCATGATTCCTTAGTAGTTAGTTAAATTAGGATTTAGAGTCAACCATAATGAAACAAGAATTTATGTTACTGTAATCAAATTTCATTAAAGCTGTCCACGTTTTGCTCTCGGTTTGACAAAAGAGAATAAACACTACTTTCATGGAAATTAGATACAAGTCTTATTAGTTATTTATTAAATTGTTTGTTTGTACTAAAATAAATTAAGCCTTATATCCAATGTAATTAGGAGTCCAACTTATCTTAATGTGTGCATGTATGGATAACGATAACTTAATTTGGAATAAATCAATTCAAAGAAACTTATTTAATATATATTTTCAAATAATGTATCTTTAAAGATAATTAGCAAAATAATACAATATTTGATAATCACGATTATCTTTAAGGATTTAGTCATACCCAAATTCTGTTTTTCCATTTCAAATCCAGTGTAACAAAATCGATTTCTGTGGACACGTTATTAACAAGAGAGACTGTATCTTTCAAGATAATTGGCAAATGTTATAAAATATTTTATTTGAAAATGATTGAATCCAATTTTGTTTTCCATTTGATACTAATTATAACAAGTTTAGTGTTCTCCTACGTGTACACGTGTTGAACACGTGCTGTATATAACTTGGTTTTCCCTTATGTTTACACGTGTTGTGTATAAAATTATATATAATGTAATTTATCTCTATTTTTAGTCATTATCCTTATTTTGAATTATAAGACCCTTTTTGAATTTTAAACAATATAACAGGTAGATTCCAGTTATTATCTACAAGTTACAACTGAAATTATACACATCGTAATTATATAAAATCTGATCACATAATGATTATTCTTGATTATTAATTATCCTTCATATAATTTGGATAAATTTCAATCTTATAGAGGATAATAACTAACACAGTTCTAACCCTTATCAACTATATATTTGCCTATAAATACTAATGCCATACACATTTTTGCCATGAACCCAATCCTTAGTTTTGGTTTCATTCTTTAAGTTCAGCAGAAACCCCCTATTATATTCATATTCTACCAAAATTATAATTCTCTTTGCCTCTTTAATCACATCTATTGCATGCACATACACGGCAACAATTGCGTGGACAGAAAATAAACATTTGGAGCGTGATTCTTAGATCTTCTTTCAAAATTCGTGGATTAACGAGGTAGGATACTATGTGCAAGTGATATGTCGTTGCAATATTATGATTTTTATACGTGATTTATTTCATGAAATGCTAATTGACTTGCGGGTCCCTATGAAATGAAATGTGAGATCGCCTTCGAGTCTTCTCAAATGTGTTAGAGCTTTCGATTGATCACTGATTGCTTTTGATGAAATGATGGTATGGAATGTTATAGATTCATATTTTAAAAGTTATCAAATTGTTTTGGACGCACGTATCCTACTGAATATAAATTACGCACTTCTTCCATTTTAACTTTTCAGGTCAGATTGGTCAACGTGGATGATGGCTGAGTGGTGCGCAGGTATCCAAGTAAAAGAAATTATTTTAGGAATCCATAATAAATTTGTTAGGGCATTTTATGTTTCTCTTCAATTCCATTCATGACGCTATGTTTATTTGATTCAGTATTTGAGTTTCAATAAATTAAGGTATTAAATTTTAAATTTTATTTACGCTTGATGTATGATTATGGAATGATATCGGTAACTCCTCAAATTTAAGTCAATAAAATTTGGGGCGTTACACAAACATTGCATGAACTAAAGAAGTACAAGCTAGGATCCTTCTAAGACTTAACCATAATCCACTCGATGAAATTTTGGATCAACATTAAGCACGCCATCTAAATTTAGACAATGATATAAAAGTCGAGATCTTGACATCTCTAGTTATAATTAATGAAACATATATCTCCTTGTATAAAACATGTAATGTTCAGGGTACAAATCTAACAGAACTGACCGCTTAATTGATTTGGCTCAAGACTAAATTATGAACAACTTTATTACATATTTATTGTATTAAAAATTCAATCAAATGATCCTAACATTTTTTGAATTTCTCATAGGAACTATATCAGAAAGAATAGGTCGAAAACTACATGAGATGGATTTCATGAAGGTTGAACCAAATTCTGATCAACTAATGCATAATGAAAAATCAGAGGTAAAAAAGCCTACCAATCAAATGAGATGTATTTTGGTCATTAGATTTGACGAAGTTTTACTATATTTATGACTTTTGTAACTATATATCTTTCTTTATTTAGATGTGAGACCCAACTATTTGTGAAGTATAATATAGTGTATACATTTCCCTAGGTCACAGTTTGACCTTCATAATTAAGTTGGGGGGGGGGGGGGGGGCGCCGGGGGGGGGCCCCGTTCTTAAAAAATTCTTAGCGGACAACCTCCTTGACTGAACCCCACAAATAGGAGAGAGGTCCCATGTTTTTTTTTTTTTTTTTTTTTTTTTTTTTTTTTGGGGGTGGGTGGGGGGGGGGGGGGGGGGGGGGGGGGGGGGGGGGCGGTCCCTGTGGTTAATGACGTGAAATTTTGTAAATGTTACTTTGAAAGCATTTGTATTAGGTCGGCCTAATATTTTTCCCTGTAATACCTTAAAATTAATTGAATCAAACATAGAAATTGAGTCAAAATTGTCAAGCTAGATATATATTTAAAACAAAATGAAAACCAAATCAAAAGAAAAAAAAAATTTGGAAACGTTCAGGCAGTGGATAACCTTTTATATTAATCTAAATTAATTTATAACAATCCATTATATACATACACATAGAGAGAGAGAGAGAGAGAGAGATGAAAAGTTGAAGAAGAAGAAGAAATGATCACCAACACTAATTTTTGCTCAAAATATATCTTTTGTTGAGAATTAATCTTGTATTTGGGCTACAATTTAAAGTAAAGAAAAACTTTGATTTTATGTTCTAATTATTGGTGTGCATTAATTACGTGGAGCAAAAATTTGGAAATGAATTCTTGTCTCCATTTTTTAATTAGTGAAGTAAAAAAGGATTATTAAGTAATATCAATTAAGTATAATTGGTAAAGAAAAACAATTATAATCGCGTAAAATTAGAGACCACAAAAAAACTCGTCAAACTCGATACCCGTGGGCCCACCCCAAACGAAGTGGAAATTACCCACTTAATCGGGTATTCGGGTTGGGTTCGAGTTAGGAAATTTCGTCTTGAGGCGATTGCCACTAATATCTGCCCCCACGTTGTTTAATTTATTTTTTTAAAATTCAATACTTTAAATAGAAAACCATACAAAATTTTATTAATTATAATAGAAAATGACAACTAAGATTAACTAATAAATAATAAAAATCTTAGTTTACCAAATATATTCGAATAATTTCACTTTTAAAAATAAATAAATTAATTAAAAATTTTAATAAATATATGATTCTGTCACTTCAATGAAGGGATAAATTATCAAAACTAAAAAAATAAATGGGACGTGAACAGGACAAGGCTTCGCACCACCTTAAACGGGTAATGAGACAGAAAATTGCCCAACGGGGTGGGGAGTGAGGAAACTTGCCCGTTGCCATCTTATGTAAAATCAGCCACATAGGCATACTTGGAAACTAAGCTATATAATTGAATGTATTGGGGGAAAGTAATTAAACTGAGCATCAATTTCATTGAAGGAGAAATCAACAAGAACTGAATAGTAGGTTTGAATGGTTTGTAAATGGGTACTTATATGTGAATTATAGAACACAACTAAAAGTCAGCTTTTCACCTACGGATAATTACCAACGGATTGTATCCATTGATAATCGGAAATGACTTATTCATTGGCAAAAGTATTAGACTTTTAACTACAAAATTTAAAAACGGAATTTTCGTTAGTAAAAGTGGTAGCTTTTTATCAATGAATATTCGGTGCCTAATGTTGTTGTTTTGGTATACGTACAATTTACCAACAGCATTTTCGTAGGCAATGTAATTCAACTATTTTTTCTAAAAACTGTGTTAGCCTTTCATTGACGGTTTTTCTGTGGGTGAAAAGTAGTTCATATTATCCACGAAATAATCGTTGATAATATTAATCATTTTTAATAATTAAAAAATTCAAACATTCTCCTATTGAATATCTATAGCTGAGGGTTTTCAAAAAATAAAAAATAAAATATCAGCCTTTTCACCATTGAAAATTCCATATGTGAAGATCAATTCATATTACCTACAAAAAATCCATTGATAATATTAATCAATTCTAGTAACACAAAAAATCAATCATTCATCTACTAAATATACGTAATTGAAGGGTAATAAAATAAAAATAATTATTTATACAATTATATAATACACTACAACCAAATCAAGGGTACAATACACTACAACCAAACTAAAGGTACAATACACCACAGGCCAACCAAAGGAATTCCTATCCCATATTGAAAGTTCACAGCAAAATCTATAGAGATGCCCTCTATAAATTAGTGGTACAATAAGTTGTTAAACAAATTTCTATGTCTTTCAATTCAGTTGGCTAAAAGTCAACAAAATTATGAATAATGTTATTTAACACTAGTGAAGTTGCAACCCCAGTCTAGATAGCACTAGATAATAGCTTAAATGAAATGTGAAATTAAATGAATTACTTAATTGCACCTATCAATTAATATCATATTAGTACCACCTAGACTGAGATTACAACCTCAATGAGGTTAAATAGCATTACTTCAAAATTAGAAGTGTCAAATAATAATAAACAATAATTAATTAATAATTAATTTTTTTGCCACTCATTGCACCTATACGACTATTTACAACACTGACTTTTACCAATTATAATCGTAGACATGTACCAAAGGAAAGTCAATTGATAATGGTTAAGATTATTACTAATGTAAAACGTTTACACTTTATCAATGGAAAATTAGTTAGTAAAATGTTTACTCTTTACTTATGACACGGTTTATTAGTAACTATCAGCGACCCTCAAATTAACAACCGATTTGTGGTTGTTAATGTTCCGTTTGTAAAGAGTAATAGCAATGGATATCGTGGTTTTAGAAACGAAAAATCCGCGCTTGAAGCTTTTTTTTTTTTTTTTTTTTTTGGAATTGATCACAGAGTGGATAAGGAAAAAATAATGATGGCATTTTTGTTCCTTCTATTTGCACACACGCTTCACTAATGGAGAATGGAAATAAAATTGAGGTCCTTTGACAGTTTAGAAATGGAAAAAAATAATAATAATAATAATAACTAGACACTAACACAGATTGACTACTTGTTTGTTGGCGATGAAGTGAATAGGCTAATAAGATTTATTATTAATTAAATGAAATTGGCCCATTTTATTTATAATTTACTTTGAATAAAGATGAATTGATTTTGATCTGGATAAGTAAATTATTATCTCATGAGGTGATATGATATCAAGACAACATACCAGTGGAGTCGATTTCACATACATAGTTGTGTGAGTGAAAAAATTTAAATACTTTCAAATATCTATAAATTGATTATATTGTTGCATTATGTGCAATATTTAAATTATTTGTTCGATTACATGATTATTATGAAAGATTAACTCACTATGATATATGTGAAATCTAAAGATCGTATATAGATTACTTAAGAATTGAAATGTGAGACATGCAATATTGTAATACTCTTATTAGTATCTGGACTAGGGTATATTATCTAATATCAAAATTCTACATTGATTCAAGTTTTGACAATTGTCTCTATATGTTGGTCTCTTCTATTGCAGAGGCTTAACGAGAAGCTGACAGCTTTGGAGCTCAAGAACTTTGGTAAGGACTCTCCAATTCGCATTACTCTTGTAGGATGCGGGTACTCTGGAGTTGAGTTGGCTGTCACTATATTAGAAAGACTACAAGTTAGGGACGTGTAACGGCTCTAATTTATTTTCTGAATTTTCTATTAGTTTTCCACTGGAGTTGAGTGTATGTCATAAACTATTAGGGCAATGAATTCTTATATGATGCAAGTAATCCTGGTAATTAATGCCAACTATTAGGTTTGAACGTGATTTTTGCATTCGTGGTTCTAAATTGTTTAAATTAAGATTATATAATTTAGTGAACAATAGAACATAAATGCATTATGATTCTAATCAATATAATGGAACATAACTATCCTCTTCATTAGTCATCTAAGCTTAATTGGTGTTGTCGGAGGTTTTGACCTTGTTAAGATATCGGGAGCAGCTTGGAAAATCAGGTCAACTCCAACTTCATTCTAATTTCAAATGCTCAATTAATTTATTTAAGTAGACTTTCCCTGTTCTTGATTTTCAATAAATATTGAACTTCTAATGATAGGATTTTGAGGTCTTTATTTTCTGATATTCTTTATAATATTTGCAGTAGAGAAATAAAATTTCTAACATCTATATTTTTGAGCTTTTTATACGTTAATATGTATTCGTTCTTCTTCTTAGTCATGATGGTAATTTTGTATGTTGAAATTGTAGGGACAGTGTAGCAATTAAATGTGTCACAAACACTCCTGGTATGCATTGTTGAACAATCAACCTCCGATAGTGGATATACCGGGTTCAGTTTCACCAATCTCTATCTTATTAAACACATCCAACAAAAGGTTCCAACTCAAACAACGATTCTTACTTCGATTGCTCAACTCAATGTGTTCACAAAGAACACAATATGGTGGCTGCAATGAATCACAAAGAATAGAGGAAGACAGATTCAGTTTAAGGCTCAAGAGAGAAAACTAGAGAAAAATGTAGGCTGCTTCTTTTCAATTGCACACACACCCGGCTCTTTCAACAAATGAGAGCAATATATAGGTTTAGGATGTAATAATATAATGGGCACATGGACCAACTAATGGGTAAAGGGGGTGAAACACAAATTGAGCCATCCGAGAAGTAAATGCGTCGTGAGCAACATTAACTATATTAAGTTATTTCAAATGACCCTCAAGTTGTTTTTCGGGTTGAGCTAATTAATCGAGTGTGTTAATAAATATTTCAATCATCGGTCGAAGCCTATGAAATCTAATCCGACTATCCGACACTGTTTAACATCATTGCTCGAAATTATTGGGTATCAAAAATCCAACAATCTCCACCTTAATGCCCAATAATCTGCAAGTAACCAAAACACAAAGTTTAAACTTGCACAATCAAGGTAATCCAATAAAATTGATATCTCAGGCCTTACCTCGTGTTTCGAATCGAAACACACACCATACCTACTCCATGTACTCACCGGGGCTAAAATCCCAAAAACACCAGGTAGAAACAAGTACTTACAGTGAACAACTAATCATGCGATAAAGATATTATATATGATACATCACACAGATCTTTTCAAATTCACGTTCACACAGAATCAAAGATTAACACCAAGTTAATCAGTACACTGTCAAACACATATGCAACAAATGCATAAATGACCTCATGAAAGATCTCACCACACTTATCCTATCCCATTTCGTGTTACTCCCACATCGAGAACACATATCTCCTCTCATCGCCTACCATGCTCACTAAATAGATCACACAACTCATGTCAAAATGGCAAGTCACAATAGATCCTAAGTTCAGGAATAATCATCTATCACCACATCACTTCTCCTAACCTACGTGGATAATGGGACTCCACCTTACAGAAGTGATAGAAGTGCCTCTCTCGCACTCCACCTGTACAGGGTCTCTTTCACAGATAAAGGATTCTACACATTTGATCACATCTCTACTCGTGATCCAAATGTCGCACTCCACATCTCCCGATACAAATCACCATGTACCCCTAGGCATCTATACTCCACCTTACCAAAAAGACATCTAACACACTACTAATGCATCCTAACCCACTATGCATGCAAACGATCACACCAAGTAATCACATTACCTCAAATTCATGCAAACACACATATCAAACAAATTGAAATGCAATATATAGTCATGCAACAAATTAGGCAATCACACACATGCTGAAAGAATAACACACAGATGCATATGCAGTGACTAGGTTTACTCTCTCAATAAACCTCACTGAGTCCATAACTCGACTCCTCAACCACATTCGTTTCACCTCTCACATAACCCTTCTGCTTATCATTCTTCTTGGGACAATCCCTAATAAAGTGTCCAGACTTACCACAACTATAACATCGTCTACCACCAGACTTGTCCCGTCCCTTATCCTTCATCTTACCACCTTCATCACTCGAGTCACTACTCGAATCACCGCTATTTTGAACTCTACCCAAATTCATTTTCTTAAACTTCATCTCACTCTTTATCATGTGTAACTCACCACTCCTCTTATCTTCATTTTCAACTTTCATTTCCATCTCCTTACTCCTAAGTGAGTCTACGACAATCTCGGGAGTCAATGTATCCCTACCATACGTAATGGCATTTTTAACTTCCTTCTATGACTCAGGCATAGAATTAAGCAAGATTATAGCCTTGTAGGTTTCAGATACGGTTTCTTCACAGTTAACAATATCTTGGACAAGTTTATTGAAAACATCTAAATTGTCATCAAGATCATTTTAATGATCCATTTTAAAACTGAAGAAACGCTCAAGAAGATAAAGTTTATTGGGAATGGATTTAAGCAAATATAAATCTTCCAACTTTTTCCAAAGATCTTTTGTGATTTTCAATTTTCCTACTTTTCTCAAAACAGCGTCAGACAGATGTAAAATGATTGAGGTATAAGCAAACTCATTGGCTTCTTCTTTTTATTCTTTTGAAAAATTAGCTGGAAAATTGCTTTCAATGGCTTTTGAAACCTTTTGTTAGATTAAAATACCCTTCATTTTTTGTTGTCAGATTGAAAAATCACCTTTTCCATTAAAAATACCAACATCAAAAGGTGAAGACATTTTTGAAAAACGAAGCAATCAATTAGGCAAATAGATCACACAAAGTAATCCTAGGGCCGTAATATACACCGTTCTAAATTCCCAGGGTTTCGTAAAAGTCGCGGTCTTAGATCAAGGGAACGTGCGAACGGGTAAGGTCTAGGTATTCTAACGAAATTAACAACACAGCGAAATTTACGATGCAACAAAATAGGTATATCCAATCAAATGAAATTTCACGACAATTTTAGTACAAAGCACAATACGCTAATTTATTCAAAAATAAGTACTCAATTGCAACAATTAAGAGTAAGTAATCCTAATTTCTAGCACAAGCAATGGCTGCCAAGCAATGACAACCCCCAACCTATTGTCACCACACACGGTGACGCGCTAATGCTGAAATTAACGGGTTAAGCCAATTTATTAGAGCGGACGTGCCTAAGTCCGTATAATCGAGAGAGATGTGAATCTGCTGCTTTAGGACCACCACTATTCGTCCTAAAGATTCAGCAAATATAATCGTACAGCCCGCCAAGAAATGCAGTTCAATTTTCAAGGGCAAAATCGTCCAACTTTTTCCGTGTAACCTAAAACAGAAAACTTCCAACACGAAAAATGTTAGAAATAATGTGAGGAACAAACTGCCTGAAGAAAGCTTCCCCAAAATCGATCCCACGCGCCCACACACGCCACCGCCGGAGAAGCCACGCTTCGCCGCCGACGGTCGCCGTCGCCCAGACGCACCGGTCACCCAGTACCGCCTCCACCTGCAGATCACGAATCCGGCCTCCGTTTCACCAAAAGACGTCTGGATTCTCCTAAAATTGAAGTTGCAGATTCGGTTTTTGGGAAAAATTTCTGGACAGTTTTTATTTTTTTTATTTCTGCCGATTTTCTGGTCGGATTTTGGCCGGAAATTCCACCCCAACCTCGCTTTGATACCACATGTTGAACAATCGACCTCCGATGGTGGATTTTCCGAGTTCAGTTTCACCAATCTCTATCTTATTAAACACATCCAACAAAACGCTTCAACCCAAACAACGATTCTTACTTCGGTTGCTCAACTCAATGTGTTCACAAAGAACACAATATGGTGGCTACAATGAATCACAAAGAATAGAGGAAGACAGATTCAGTTTAAGGCTCAAGAGAGAAAACTAGAGAAAAATGTAGGCTGCTTCTTTTCAATTGCACACACACACAGCTCTTTCAACAAATGAGAGCAATATATAGGTTTAGGGTGTAATAATATAATGGGCTCATGGACCAACTAATGGGTAAAGGGAGTGGAACACAAATTGAGCCATCCAAGAAGTAAATGGGTCGTGAGCAACATTAACTATATTAAGTTGCTTCAAACGACCCTCAAATTGTTTTTCGGGTTGAGCCAATTAATCGAGTGTTTTAATAAATATTTCAATCATCGGCCGAAGCCTATGAAATCTAATCCGACTATCCGACACTGTTTAACATCATCGCCCGGGATTATTGGGTATCAAAAACCCAACATGCATGATTCTGCATAGATTGTTCGATGCTATGTTTTGGATCTTCATTTCATCTTATCTTTAAATTACGAATGAAATTATTATGCTTTAAGTTTGTCTGTGCAGATGAAGCTCTTGTTAAGGATTTTGGCTTTAAGCAAAAGTGGAATAGTCCAAATAGGACAAGTAGTAACATTTTGAATGGTATTGTATTATATCCCATCTGCTATCATTTTGTAAGCATTGTGATCCAAATCTTAGTTGCTCATCGTATTTTCTTTTACCCCGCAGGCACAGTCTTCAATGAACCAATTCTCTGCAAAAATGTTCCTCGACTGGTCCCAGGTAGTAACTATTTCATTTTATTTCTGATTTTACTTAATATTTCCCTTTAGTTTGGGGGTATATTCACTCTTTCCTTGGGTTATGGAATATTATGTACACTATTTACTCTTGCATTCAAGAAGCCATGCTTTTAGTGATCAATACCGAGCAACTGATGGAAAGCTAAAATTGGTGTTTGGTAATGAACTTTATTCACTTTTTTAACACTTAGATACATATCAAACGCCACATCCTTAAATTTTTACTCCTGCTCTTACCAAGCAAAGAGTAATTTCATTAA